CACTAATAATACATTCATCACATAAATGTATACCTATATAATATCTAATATTATATGCAAATAAGTTTCAAGTTTCTAGCAATTAAGTCGTCTAAACTCTTTTAGACAAATGGATCGGATTAATTAAATAATTAATTAATCATATTAATCGATTATTTAATTAGCGGGAATATTTAATTAAAGTCAAATTTTAATTAAATAACAAATTAGAGTCCAACTCTAATTCAACAATTATATGGCGGGATTATTTAATTAAAATGAAATCTTAATTAAATATCAAATTAGAGTCCAACTCTAAATCTAAGATTTTAGGGCGAACATGTTTAATCAAAATCAAATTTTAATTAAACATCAAATTATAGTCTAACTCTAATTGGAATAAATTATAGGGTGAATTGATTTAATTAAAATCTAATTTTAATTAAATAGCAAATTAGAGTCAAACTCTAATTCCAAGAAGAAATTTAGGGCGAGGCAATTTAATTAAAATCAAATTTTAATTAAACTTCAAATTAGAATCCAATTCTAATTTCTAAAATATCTTTGGGCGAATAATTTAATTAAAATCAAATTTTAATTAAACACTAAATTAGAATCCAATTCTAACTTAAATTGAATTAAGATTTTAATTTAGGATAAAACTCCTAAATAAAATAAAATTCAATTTAGGGTCAAAATTTAATATTTAAGTCAAAATCCAATTTTAACGAAAATATAAAATGTCGTCAATTTTAAATAAAATTTTAATTTGGGTCAAAATTAGAAATCTAGTCAAAATAGGTCAAAACCCATATAAAATAAAATTTAAAACCATTTTAAAATCTAAATTCAAATCCCCTTTTGAAATTTACACTTTGGCCCGTTTTCAAATTAAACTCAAGACCTCTCAATTTCGCAAATTTCATACAGGCCCTTCATATTTCAAAAATCTCAGAATAGGTCCTAGTTCAGAAATTGCAAAACTGACCCTTGATAATAGCAGCCGGGTCCCTACAATTTCATAAATTGCATGGCAGACCCCCGTCCCCAACCAATCACCCGAACTGCAGAAACCCTAAATTGAAAATCGCCTCCTTTTATTCGTTTTCAGTGGGGCCGCGCTGGTCGCCGCCCCTTGCCCCTTCCCGCCGGCTGCCCCTTGCCTCTTTTCTCAAGCGACGACAGCCGCTGCAGCAACGCAAAAGCGCTGCTGTAGCAGCAGTGCATTCGTGCTGCCACAGCAGCAGCAGACGCCGCTACCGACTGCGTCTGCTGCCGCTTTTAACAGCGGCAGATGCCGCTGCTACTTTTAGCAGCGGCATCTGCCGCCGGTATTGGCGCCATCGCAGGCAGCAACTGTTGCTGCCGGCATCCAACGTAAATTTAATTTATTTTTTTTTAATTTCGATCCAAACATTATTTTTTATATTCAAAATCAAATTCTGAATATTAAAAATAATTTTCTTAATCACTAAAACAAGAAAAATAAACAATTAACTTTTAATTGTTTCCAACATGCAAAACAATTTCTAACAAACACAAAGTAGGCTCTGATACCACTGTTGAGAATCTACTTATACATGCACGGTGGAATTTAAAATAATTTTTGATTCCCACCAAGAATCGCCTTTGTGTTTAGATAGAAATTGTGATAAGATTGTACCTTTTCAGATCTGCAATCCTTTTGCTTTTCTTTTCGTTCCATCAACTTTGATTTGCCACCACAGCTGTCCAATTGTCCAACCTCCAACAGTGATCCACACAGAAAATATGATTGCAGCCTCTAGGGTTTTCTCTTGTGCCAGCAAGAATAATGAAAACCTTATTGGACCTCAAACCCTAGTTATGTATTTATATAAACCCAAATAGGCTCGGCCCGGTCCGGTCCATTAATTAATTAATCCAATTAATTAAACCCGGTCCGTGAATTAATTAATCCAATTAATTAATTCGAAAATATAAATAACAAATCCAATTAATTAATTTATCCAACGATTGTTAAATTAATCAATTGGCGATTTGCAATCTTCCAATTCTCTTTTGTGTGTGACCCATTAGGTTCCCGACCACGATGCCTAACGACGTGAAATATTATTTTGATCTAATCAAAATTGATAAATTAAAACACCCTTTTAATTTATCGTTAATTCAAATTCGCCGTCCCTGATTGACATCTAGCAATGTGTCAGGGCAATACATGTGACGGGAAATGTCACGTGGTATGACAAAACCAAATTCGTTCGTTTACCGTGAAACTATAATCCCTTCGTCAATATGATCCGATCAATTACGAGATATGGAATTGTGTCAATCTCGATCATCGATCATATCTTTCACTCCACTATTAAGTCAATATAAATCGAAAACTCCTTTTCGACTTATGAGTACACTTTGGCCAAGGATTTGATCATTGACTTAATTGAATGAAACGCAGATCATAATCTCCTACTATCTAAGAGTGACGAATCCTTTATTGATCAATCACAACCTTCATACGATTCTTGACGTACCCGAACGATGTCGTGTTAGCGGCCCTTTTCAGAGCAACATCCAACACCGCCAAAGTATGACTGTCCTCATATAAGGTACCATGACGACCTCAAGTCAAAGGACCAATTTCACTACCGAACGTTAGAGATAACCACCGACGCTCAGATAGTTATCCATGTGGAATCTCTCGACGGGTCTCCAATGTTTTGCTCTATAACAAAACATCCACGTGTTCATTTAAGTGTCACCACACTTTAACTTGTGAGATCAGCTACTTACTTCACAAGTAAGAAATGCCATACGTGATGGTCTATCCGTAATAAAGATATCCGTATCTCGTTATTACTTACGACCACGGATGATTTAAGATTCAATCAGATGTAATTTGTATCTCACAATCACAACTCCTTATGATTAACAAATTACGAAGATTTGAATCTACGGACTCTATTATTTATTTAATTGTCTATTAATTAAATAATAGATCTACCATTTAATTGCATTAATTATATATAAAAGTATTTATATCCAAAGTTGATTGAACTTAGGGCATAATACTTACACTGTACACATGGATGCAAAATATATAGTGTGCCATCCAACTATCTACAAGTGATACAAAAGTGATATTAAAAAATGAACATGTATCCCAAAATAATGATTACATATAATGAGTCACACTAGCTAACTCGGTTGTATGGCTCTGACTCCAAAATTAAAGGCTCAACCCCAAAAGCTACTCAAAATCTCAACTGTTACCCGATAAGAAAAATCATGAAAAAATATATGAGTTGATAACCTAATGATCGGAGAATTTCAAAAATAATTCTATTTTCTCATTTATACATATTTATCAAATATCAAGTTCCATCATCATAGTGTAACATCACATAATCATGAAACATTCTCATAATACTGATAAATATCATCTTATAGTCATAATATAATCATGTGCTAACATAGTGACATAATCTCATGACATCACAATATACTGAAAAATCTCAACAAAAATATACCCTCTGACTAAAATGTATATAATCTGGTCATACGCATGTAGACTACCCTGCAAGCTAAGCATTTTCGACACAGACCGCAGGCCGCTTCCATGAAGAAAAGAGGATCTCAAAGACATCTAATAAACAATTCTAGAATACGACCAATGTCTTTCAATGTACTATATGTATACGGTCAAGCCTCTTCAATCCATAATCAAGAGCCCTCTGCATAGCATAGAACATGGTCAAAATCCCTCGGCGAGTTAGAAGAAATATGTGTCTTGCATTCCATTTCATATGTAATCACTTTACCATCTTTGTATTTCCAAAAATATCATAATACAATAACATTTCATAATAATCAAGGAGTTGAACAACTAATTCACATAATCGCACGTAACATAATGATATTATTAATTATCAATATCTGAAAATATTTAAAATTTTCCACTCACAAGCCTATATACATGACCATTAATTCGATTGATAAGCTATCTTCATCTCTTCGTTACAGCATGAAATATAATATAATGTCTAGATTAACAACTAATCATATTAAGTAACTTAATAATTAGGTTACTTATAATTAAATAGCCAACACTAAAGCTTAATCTTTTCACATTAATCAAATTCCCAAATTCTCCTGTTCAATTTACTGCAATTACCTTCATTTAATTTAAAAACATAGCTTATTATTAGTTCCAATCAGGTTGGTTTTACTTACCTTTCGAAATTGAAGAATTCAAGTTTAATAATATAAACCACTCTATTTGTATATTGTTATGCTATAAGACCTGGGTGGATGACCGCACACACACATGGAGAGCGGGTAGGGATGTCAAAAAGGCTGAACCGCTCGTCGGCTCATCGAAAGAGAGCTTGTGGGCAGCTCAAGCTCATAAAATCATGAGCCTGAGCAAGAGCCAAGCGGGCCTCGTCGGAAGGCGAGCCGAGCTTCAAGACGAGCCGCTCGTTGGCTCGTGAATATAGTGACCAAAACAGTCAATTTTCCAGTGACCGTTTGGTCACTGAAATTTTTTTTAGAATTTTTTTTTTCCCTTCTACTATAAATACCCCTTAACTCTCCTTTTTTTTTTTTTTTATTTCTTTTTATCAATTTTTTCCTCTCAATCACTACTTCTCATTTCTCAACTCTCTTTTATTATATCAATTATCAAGTTTTTACTATCTTGTGCTGCAAAATATACAACATCGATTCATTTTTTACAATTTATCCAGTTACAATTTCAATTCATCCAATTTTCAATTCTCACAATCTCACTACATTTATATTTTTGTAGTTATTATATTTGGATTTCATCATTGGTCTTTTGATTACCCGCAAGGGAACGAAATCCTGAACAAGTAATAAAGTAGTGTGTAGAGTGTCGAACCCACGAGAACTATGTGTTTGATCGAGTTAAAGCTAATAATTCCCTTAATCGAATAACAAGGTCGAGTTGTAACTAACACTATTAAATCTATCAATTAAATAGAAAGCAAAGTAAAAGTTTATCAAATTTGCGAGAAGTATTGTTAAGATGTGGAATCCTCCTTGCTACTCCATTTTAATTCGACAATTTAAATTGACAATTTGAAATCATGCTTGTTGGTTAATGTTCCTATGTTATTTAAAAGTCTCTCGATAGCAATTAAATCTAGTCCTACATGTGTGTTTCCTATATCTCTATGAAAAATACGAACGTGCAAAAAGGCATTAACGAGCTAGAACATCTTTAATAACCGTGTGAAGCATAGAGGTATATCTCTATCCTCTATCGAACCTCACAACGTTTATAATTACGAGCTAACGATCCTATTATCTCTCTCGATAACAATAAAATTCACAAACAATTCAATTATTGGCAAAGTAATTGAAAAACAAGTTAAACCATAATAAACACTCAAACAATTAAGCGAATTTAACGTCAATTTAATCTATTTGAACTAACAACTTCATAACAAGAGTTCATCACATCCTAGCACTAGAAAAATTAGCCACACATATTGTCGAAATTAAATAAATAAAGTTGGAACAACATCACCGAGTAACTGAAGGAACATGAATGATTTCCAAATTCCTTCCAAAGCCACCCCCTCAATCCACGTCGGTTCCAAATTAATTCATGTAATCAGCCGCCAATTTGTATATATTTTTCAGCGCTTTTCTTCTATGTTTTTCTCCAGCCAACTGCTGACTTTATTTGCAGCAACTAACTGAAATTTTTTACTCCAAAACAACTCGCCAAATCAGCCGAAATCGCTCTCAATTTCTGCCACTTTTCTCCACAAACTTCGGCTTTTTATCCTTCAATTTTTGTCCCCTCACCGTCCGTTTTCTATTGGCATTTATATATAATTTCAACAACAGCCTACTTTTTGTATTCCAATTCCCACCAACTCGGCTTTTGTTTTGTGCCTAATCTATATATATATATATATATATATATATATATATCAACTCCAAGAGGCTATTATCTATGTATATAAAATCAATTCCAGCCGCCTATATACGTGTACAATAATCAGTCCCCAAAATGGCTGCTAATGCTTGATTTTATAATCCTCACAACAACTTTAATGCTTTAACTTGTGCAAATTCCAGTCCCTTTTTTTCTCAAATTCAGCCGCCCAATTGTGCTGGTAATCCAATGTTTTGCCTTAGCCGGCTCTCTCTACGTGTATAATCTCCCTCAACTCTTTTTCATTTAGCCTCCCTTGTCCCCAGAAAACTGCTGTCTTCTATGTATATATATTCATGCTGGAAACCCTTTTGAATTTGGATCAAAACAAAGTCTACAAGTTAGGCCCATTGAATCCTTTATTTTCTTCAAGTCCTCACTTATTTTAAAATCATACAATTTAATCCTTGAGCCAATTTAGTCATCGTGCTTTGGAATTTGTCATTTCTTTGCCGATTTTTGCTTCCTTCCTTCGATTCCTTTTTATCCATAGAATTTACCTATTAAACATATAAAATAAAACAATTTAGGGTATAATTTGTCAAAAGAACTATCAAATATTATTATTTAAGAGTCCAAATAAGTGTATAAAATATAATTATCAATCATAAACAATCAAACAAATGGATCAACGCTCATTTGTTAAGAGCTTATTCGATACGGCATGTGGGCCACATGAAGAATCGCCTAGGACGCCGCAAAGTCAATTTCCAAATGAATTTGCCAGTGTAAATGATGTACCTATACCTGATGATATTCACATTCACGGTCAGGGAAGTCACAATCCAATTGATTTGAATGATATTAACGTTCCCGAAGCAAAACATGAGGACGAAGATGTCGAAATTAAACATCCCAGATGCGAGGGGAAAGTGAAAGGGCAAAAAACAAACAAAATGTTGGGATCACTTTAAGTTGATTTCAACAAGAAAAGTCGTTGATGGCCTTACAGAATATAAGGCAATATGTCAATACTGCAAACAAAGATTGGCATAGCAAAAAGGAATTGGTACCACCCATTTCAACCGCCACTATAAAGCATGTACGGACAAACATGGACTTCTTCCAGCTGGTCAAACACAATTACAATTTGGCAGTCCACGTTCTGGTTCTACGACTTCACCCTTATCCACGTTGGTGTATTCGAAGTACAATACTAAAATTGAAATGGTGAAATTTGTTACCGCCACTGAGTTGCCTCTGACTATTGCAGACAACCAACACTTCGTCTCGTTTGTGAAAGAATATCTGCAACCAAAGTACGTTGAGGTAATTCAAAACACTCTTCATACCGATACAATACAATATTTCAATAATTCAAAACAACAATTAATTATGAATTTTGAACAATGTGGGGGTGTTATATCTTTAACTTCTGATATATGAGAAGGGATAAATAAAAGAGCATATATATCTGCAACCGTATACTATATAAACCCACTTTAGTTTATACATAAAAAATTATTGTTTTTAGAATCATTGAGTTTCTTCACAATACTAATAATATATATAATGCTATTATCAATATTGTTAGAGAATATAACTGCGAGACTAAAATTCGATCTTTTACTTTTGATAATGCTAGTGTTAATAAGGTAGTCGTCGATAAATTGTGTATGGCACTTCAACCTAATTTTGATGGGTATTTGTTTCATATTCGTTGTGTGTATCATATTTTGAATTTAATTGTGCTTGATGTCTTAAAACATATAAATGATTTACTTCAAATGATTAAGAATTTATTAGTATATATTACGATATCTCCTAGTAGAAAACAAGTATTTGAATATTTTTGTGTCGAACTAAGGGTGACGACTGGTAAAACATTTGTTGGTGACGTAGGCCATAGATGGAACTTTACTTACTGGCTATTAAAGTCATGTAAAGGTTTCGAATATTTAATAACTGACTTTTATAACAATAGACATTTTAGAAGTGATGACGATGGTATGTTGAATGAATCCAATTGGATTTTAGTTTTGAAAGTTAAATGATTTTTGACATCTTTTTATGAGACCACAAAGATTTTATCCGGTATTTATTATCTCACAAACTGTATGGTGTTTGAACGCCTTTATATAATTGCAAGAACATTCCATAAATATAAAATAATCCTGCTTATAGTGAAATTATAATTGCTATGGAATTAAAGTTTGGAAAATATTGGGAAGAACTACCTATGTTATTTCCTTTAGCATGCGCAATAGACCTCTAATATAATATTTCGAGAATTAAATACGTAATTGATCAAATCAATAAAGCCTTAATACTTGATACACCTATCACCTATAAAAATTTAGAGCAAAACATTATGTGGAACATATGATTTATATGCAGAAAGAATGGGTGCGAATGTTAGTCAGGTACCCTTTGTACCTACTCATTCGACTGAAATTGAAGAAGATGATGTCGAAATAATGAATTTATTTCAAGGCATTAATACATTTAGATATAATGCAACTGCAATGTGTTCATCTAGTGCCATGTCGTTTACATTTGACTCTCATCAAACATCGGCCGCAACTCAAAATGCGAGACTTGCTGAATTAATTGATTACTTCAATCATAATATACCAACAGACAGAACAATTAAAAAAAAGTTCAGAAGAAGTAATTGAATTCTGACGAAAATATAAAAGATGTTGGCCAATTGTTTCTGCAATTGCGAAAGATCTGCTGACACCTCCGATTAGCACTATTGCTTTGGAGTCTGCTTTTAGTGTAGGTAAAAGGGTTTTGACCGATGTCAGAAGCCAACTAAAAAAAGATGTTTTGGAAGCGTTAATGTACGTGAAGGATTGGCAGGACGCTCATTTTTAACTACTAGATAAATATGCTGAAATTGTATGTTGTCAGGTAAGTGATATTTGATTTAATTATATTAATCAAAATTTCCTTATTTTTAATCGTTAAATTTAATTCTCTTTAAAAAATTGTACAAATTACAACAAGTTGTTCATATATAATTTTTAACTCCGGCTACTTAAAATTAATGGAGTTGGTCCTAAATCCGGATAAAGGAGGAGGGTTTACATTTTATCTATTTTAAAAAGAAATAAAAAAATGTATTTCTTGTAAATGTATTTCAAAAAACAATTCATTTTCATTATATAAATATTTTATACTTTATAAAAAATATTATAATATTATATAAATAAATAAATAATGTCTTCATTAAATTATTTTTATTTTTTTAATACTTTTTATTTTTTTTAAAAAGTATGTTCATTAATGATCTGTGTTTTTCTCTATTTAAAAAAAATGAAAAATATGACGAGGTCGTGAGCCAAAGCTTGGCTTAGCCCACGAGCTCGTGAGCCAAAGCTCGGCTCGCCACAAGCGTGAGCCGAGCTCGTGAGGTTAAGGGCAGAACCGGCCATTGACATCACTAGGAGTGGGGATTATTTATTCCCACGGGAGTCACGCATCCCATGTGAGGGTGTGGTCATCGAGGGTGTTATCCATGAGGGTCAAGTGGCATTTCCCTATTGTTTCCTCCATTTTTTGGCTTCATAAGGTTGACTGATACTCTTAGCAGGTTGTAATCAAATAGTCTCAGAAGTCCAAATACTCTTTAAGAAGTTCATCAAGATTCCTGCAACTCAGCGGTTTTCCTAAATCCCCCACTTAGTTTTGTACCTCAATAAGAGTTGCCTAGTCGTCGCGTTAGATTTCGGATCTTGATTTTGAGCTTGGGAACAATCAAAACTATATAACTATTACAATCCTATTCTTCTAGTTATCATCTAACTATTACAACGTGCCATTTTTTTAATGTGTAAATAGGATCAGCAAAAAGAAAAATTATCTATACATGCAAACAACGTACTATACTTGGGTTAGGTTTCAGAAAAGCTCCATCAATTCAGTCGATTATTTTTAGACAAATAACTTAGTTTCTTGATCTAAGTGAGGGCATATTGCAAGTAAATATTTCACTTGTAAACACGTGCTACACAAGTAATAATACACAATAATAGTCTTTGATGTATATTCTCGTACAAATTGTAATTTCTTCTTAAATCATCAATCGGTCAAGATTAGAATCAATCAAAGAAGACAGAGAGAGATGCTATGTACAAAATTTCTTAATGAAGACTTTGAATCGAAAGTCTCTCTTACTTTATCTCGTAATGTTTGTAGGAAGAGCCTTTATCTAATAGCATCATCTGCAATACGGTAAGATGCGGTTGTTTGGATTTTCATATGCCGTCCATGAAATTTGAGTCTGTTGTTAAACAAATTAATGGCACCTTCCCTCTTTAGAAGTCTAGTTGCCCAAATGGAGGATAACATCAATTACGACCACTTAATTATCTATCATCGTGATGTATTGCAAATTCATTTGTTTTTCCTTTTGTTATCTGACTCTTTGTTTGCTGGTGCGTTCAATCTCCGAATCATGTGGAAGATCTCCGGCGCTCGAATGTAGCCAAGGAACAAAGCTTATCTTCAAAATAAAAATAAAAATATCAAATAAAAGCGAAAATTGATATAATAATAATAATAATAATAATAATAATAATAATAATAATAATAATAATAATAAAGGAAATAGTCCCCGGTAGTAACTACAAAAACTTGATTTGCTTAAATTACGAGTGAACAATATCTCCAAACAATTAATAAAGTTGACTTAATGAATTCAAGATTATTATATCCAATTATTAATTTTTTTAATAAAGCTAACTTCTTTTTGAGAAACACAAACTATCAATTGAATGATTTTAATTATTCTACTAGTTCTAAACTATGAAACGAATTAACATGTTGTATAGTGGACAATCTCTATTTTTAAGAATTAACTCGATGAAAAAAAGTGTTAGAACATACTATTTCAACTTAATTCTTTCCATTGAAGTATCACACAAATCCATGAAAC